GGGGGACTATTTGCTCCTTTCTGGCCAGCATGGAGGGGATCGGCTGCATTGTGGACAGTCCTGGGGCGGTGGGCAGGGCTGTGGTTCTGTCCTTGGACCCAAGATGAAGGGACGTGACCTTGTCAACAGTCCCCCCGCCCCTGCCTGGCCCTACCACCCCCCTGGGGACCCTCACACCAGCCGATGAAGAGGAAGAGCCACTTGCGCAGGCGCTCGGTGGAGTAGGTCATGGCGATGGCCGTGTGCAGGTAGCAGCCCTCTACCAACATCCAGAAGAAGTTTGTCACCACGAAGTAGTTGAAGACGGTGGTGATGCAGCGGCACCAGACCTGCAGGGACAGGCGCGGTCAGGGCCGCGGGCCGGGCGCCACGGAGGCCCAGCCACCTTAGTGGCTCACGGCCATGGCGTTAAGTACCCTCCAATCCCACTCTGGGTGGTTCGTCCTTGGCCGCTTCCCTCACTGTTTGAGTTAAGGCGCCCCTCTCCACGGGTACTGGGGTGCCCGGGACTTCCCTCCAAGGCTTTCTAATTCCCCTTCTAATCAAGAAAGAGGGCGTCTGGCTCCACTCTCTTTGCAGGCAGCGTCTAGGAAGGATACCACTGTTGTGTTTTCATGGTGCTGTTTTTTGGAAGGTCACCTTTAATCCGTAAGTCTCTCTGGTTTGCACTTAGGGATGGAACATGAAATTTCAGTAGGAAAGTGATTTAGTGTAAAGTGATTCGGTTAAAAGGAAATTGTGCTGCAATAGTACAGGGTCTATGAAGGCGGGCGGAGGCTGCGGAGGCGAGTCTCCAGTCTCCGGGTTTGGGACGATGAATGTTGGTTGCTGCTCTTTGCATCCCCGGCAGAGGAGAATATGTCCCTGTCCTTCTGAGCAGGGCTACCTGTCCCCAAGCACACCTCACAGAGGGGAGACGGGTGGGGACAGAGGAGGACCTGCCCAGAGCCACCGGGAGCCATGGCCAGGTCCTGGGCCCCAAGTCAGAGCTCTTCTCCACAGACCTCCCTGGCCGTCTTTCCCACGGGTCCACCTGCAGAGCACCCTCAGAGCTGAGGTGGGGATGTGGGAATGGTGGTCACAGGAGCCCTGTGATGGGGGCTCTCTGCTCCTGTGGACGGCCTGTCCCCTCTCTGTGACGCACTGAGCTGCTCGCAGCTCCCCCATGACCCCGGCCCTGATCTGGGTCCCCACGTGGCTGCGTGTCTTTCCTTTCTGAGAAAGTCCTGCTGAGGAGGGGAGCTAAAGATCCCTCCTGCCAACCCTGCTTTTTCTCTAAGTTAAGCGACATCTTATCAGCACCAGCCAATACCTGGCTGCAGGACACCCCAACAGTGTATTGAACTTGGTTGGTGCTGAGGCAGGGCTCAATGGGTGGCCAAGTTCAGGGTCCAACCAGGCTGAGTGCGTGCTCAGGTCCAGCCACCCAAACAAACTGTACTGAGAAGTCTAACGGTGTGTCAGAGAACTCTGTGTGGCCCACTCTAGTCTCAGCTTCTCAGTGACGGGGGACACAGTGCACAGTGTTGACACAAATCTGGTGGGCAGCTAATATGTGGACGGCCTGCTCTCAATCCTGCTGCCCAGATGTAGACTCAGATGTGTCACCCAACCCCTCCAAGGCCGTTTCCATGTCTGCATCATGATGCCTACAAGCCTCCCACTGGGACTGAGTGAGATACAGAGTGACAGAGGTCAACTCCAGCCTCTTCTCTAAGGGTCTTCGCAAGGTCTGAGCTCAAAGACGGCCGAGTGGGACAGGAAAAATCAAAGTCTGCTGTCAGGACCCCAGCCCAGCAGCTCCCCGCCTCCCCAGCTCTGGAGGGACAAGGGTTGGACTGGACTTAAGAGGTGGGTGCCCCAGAGCCCGGAGCCCCCAGGCCCAGCCCCGGCCCCAAGCCTCTGCCCAGTGACCTCATTGTTTTCATGCACTTCATGGTCGATGAGCTGCAGCAGGAACCACATGACGTTCCGCAGGATAAAGGTGCTAATGAGGTTCCAGTGAATCACATTCCGAAGACAGCGAATGCTCCTGTGGGAGGCCAGGTCAGGGGTCAGCCAGGGTCAGGAACCGGCTAGGACTGAGCCCCCGGAGGCCAGGTGGAGACTCAGCCTGGCGTGAGGGCAGGGCTGCACCGGGACCCAAATTCCTGCCGCCGTGGTGGCCACAGTTGGCCTTCTCACTGCCAGCCTCCTGGGCATCTGCATGCCTGCCAGGGGCCCCTCCCCCATGCCTCTGTCCGCTGGCTCCAGGGCCCCTGGAGTGGAGGTGGGAATGTCTAGGACAGGAGAAGGGGATGCTGGGAGGAGGGACAGGGAGAAATCAGGGGCAGGTGACTCACCGCAGGGCCAGGAAAAGCAGGAAAGCAGCCACGAGGGCTGCCATAGAAACACAGTGGCCCAGGTAGTTGACCATGAGGGCGATGTGGTAATGCAGGCTGTACTTCATCTGCTGGACAGACAGACAGACACACCGGCAGACGGAGGCATGGAGCACATGGAGGGTGGCGCTGGGAACTCCAGCCACGGCCACCCTGTGTGTCCTGACCATGATGGCAGAAGGGCTCTAAGTGTCATCATTGTGCCTGGCTCCTGCATATGACTTCCTCCCGTTGGCCCTGGGCGGCTCTTGCAATTTTGGAGCAGATCTGGACATAGTGTGTTCTGAGACATGCCAGAGGAGCAGGTAGATTTTCTTTTCTTTTTAACTCTGTACTGGGAGTTGCCACCCCTGGATTTAGTCTCAGCTCAGGCCCCAGCTGGCTGAGCAACTGAGAGTGGATGGGTTCAAATCTCTGGGACTCAGTTTTGACATCTGCACAATGGGGCCAACCTGCCCTCCTGCTCAGAGGCAGTGACGGATGGGAGGTCTGAGGGCTGCCCTGGGCTCCGTCTGCCCTGGTGCAGCCAAGCGGGGTGGGAGGGCATTGACTGCAGAGTGCTTAGAACAGTATCAAAGCCAAATAAAAGCCAGTCTGCTTGTTACTGTCACCAAGGGCTGGCACTTCTAAACAGGCAGCGAGGAAGCACTCCTCCCCGCCACAGGAGACGCCCCCAGCCCCACTTTGCTTTGCCACCTCAGAGGGGCTGTGAGCCGGAGCTGAGAACAGAGGGCTGGGGAAGCCTCACGCTCCCCTTCATGCCCTGTCCCACTGCCACTCCCCGGCCCTCACTGAAGTCCCCGTTTGGCTCACATTTTGAAGAATCGCTTTCTCAGGGTAGACAACTGGGTTTCCCACCAGCCCCGCTGAGAACTGTGTCGGGTGAATGAGGAGGGGCCTGGAGGTGGGACATATCATTTTGGGTCAGAACTGAGGTGTAGCTTTGAAGGGAGACGGCTGGCCCCGCAGGAAGCGGGGACTTCCGTTTCAGAGCAAGTGGGACAAAATGGAGCAGTTGGGAGACAGGACTGGTTGTGCCATCCTGGGGATCCTGTGTGTTCCACCTGAGCCATCCAGGGTCAGGGAAAGGGGGCACTCACCTCTTCATCCAAAATGGGCACACACTGTGAGTAGTTGATCCGCGAGGCCCACGTCCCGTTCTCCAAGCACTCTCGGTAGGCGTTTCCTGCAAAACGTGCCAACCACCAAGAGGCAGGTCACTCCCCTCCTCAAGAACACTCCCCGGCTCCCTGGTTCCCCCAGGATAAGGCCCATACTTCTTGGCTTCCCCAGGCCAGGAAACACAAGCTGCATCTACAAGTGCATCTGCAAGGCCTGTGTGAAAACCGCACACAAGGCTTAGCAACACGCAGCTGAAAGGCACGGATCAGCCCAGTTTTGATACAATCTTCAGTCTGAACGCTTCCTTAAATTTGTTCGAAACTGAACCCAATTGTAAGCCTCAGTCGTGGGTGAAGGTTCACGGCTTTCATAATCATAAAGCAGATGACGATTTCCATCTTTATCTCAGCCATTCTATGCTTGATGGGTCCCTACGTTTCCTACCAGTATCAGCACTTTCACTTTAATAACAGCTACCACTCACATAGCCGGTGTTGACCACGCGCCCGATACTCTCCGCTTTATACGCTGCCCATTCAGTGTCCACAGCAACCTCGTGAAAGAGGGACTAACAGTAACCCATTGCTCGGAGAGAAAACTGAGGCCCAGAGAGATTAGGCTGCCTGCCAAAGACACACGGACAAGAGAGGATTCAGACCCAGAAGGTCTGGCTTAGGCTTCATGCTCCTAACCTCTAGGCTACTGAGCACATAGGAATGGGGGACATTTGGGGAAACAGGACTGTCCTGCTGACCTTGAGCCGTGGCTGCCTGGGTGACGTGATGTCTCCCAATGTTTGCGCCTCTGTGTTAAAGTTGGAATGTGATGTGTGAAAGGACCTCAATGTCTGATACACAAAAGTGCAGGTTTTATCCAAGGGGAATGTACGGAGGAAAGAATGCTTCTATTTACCTTTCTTTAAATTCTAGCTTGACTGGCAAGGTCTCCCTCCTCAGCCCCCTCCTCCAGGCAGCCCACCCTCAACCTCTCACCAGGAGGAACCCCTCCCACCTGAGAGCCCCCAAAGCCCTTTGCCGGCCTCTGTTCTGCATCGCACTATCCGTGTGACTCTTACCTCCCCCACTTGGTTATAAATTCTAAGTGATCCATTGATGGGGGGTAATTTGTATCAGGGTTCCGCTCTCTGGCTAATGGATGGTTGTTTGCAGAATTTTCTTTTGACTTATGTTAGATATACAATATAAAGCTAATGAAAATAAATAGCACACAGAGCAGTTGCAGAGCTAGAGGGGGAACCTTAGATTGTTTTTGGAAGCAGTGAGTTCTAAAATAATTAAGTTACTTTAAAAACCCACTTCCGTTGAGCTGACAGTGAGCAAAAAGCAATGGAATTATTAAGGAGCACTTGCTGGAGAGCAGAAACAACAGGGGAGATTCTATTAGCTTAATTGTTTTTTAATTTGGAGATCTGAGCTCACAGATTTTTCAAATTCAGGGTTGCTACTGGCCTCTTCCTGCCTCTGGGGCCTATCAGTGCGAGGCCGCCTCTGGCAGGACCCTGCCCTGGGTGTGAGTGAACCAGGCCAGTGCTGGTCCAACCCCAATTCCAACCCCAATGTGAGGACGCCGGTGCCCCGACTCTGATCATGGCGCTCGATTCCCTACTTGGGTTTTCTCCCTCCTCGGGTTACTACAGAAAGGTTGGTGTTAAGAGAATCTGATGTAGAGGGTCAGTGATGTTGCTGAACTGAAGGGCAGAGTGTGGAGTGAAGCCAAAGGACCCGTGTCAAGTATCTTAGGAGGATGGGTCCTTCTGTAAAATGAACAATCCCTTCCTGATGGGGGTTTAGAGTCCCTCTCAACAGGCCTGTGTGAGGCGGGACAGACCCTGATTCTAGCTGCGGTTCAAAGAGAAACATTTGTCTTCTGGGAATGTGTTCACAGATGTTACCCAGCCTTCTTGAAGTGCAGTGCTAAGACCCTTCCTCCAGGAAGGCCTCCTCGATTGCTCCCATCTCACAGCTCTTTCTCTCTCTTGAGACTCCCCGCATCCAGTCCTGATGGTCTGAGCCTCACGCTTCCAGCCCTTGCTCATGACCTGGCCTGGATTGTTCAGGTGCATGAGGCTGGTCTCTGATGAGTGTGAGACTCCCTGAGGACAGGGTCTCAGAGTAATCATCCCAAAGTATGGCATCTCAGGTGGCACTGACCACAGGCTGGGCTTGTGGATGGGAAAGGGTCAGGAGAGAGATGCTGCAAATCTGAGACCTCTCTGGTCTCTTATATCAATGCTGCCAGGGTACCAAGGTCTCTGAATTCTGTCTCCTCTTTTTTTTCTGGAGTCCACCCCACTCCTGCCCATCCCTCCGCCCTCTCTGGTCGTCTTGCTTAGACTGGTCCCGGCCTCCTATTTTGCCTCCCTGCTTTTTCTCTTGCCCCTTGACTCTCTTTCCTTTACCCAGACTGTCAGTGATCATGTCGATTTATGCTTAAAAGCCATAGGCAGCTTTTCATTGCTCGTGGGAATCAAGTCCAACTTTCCTGGTGTGATATTCAAGGCCCCAGACACTTGGGCCCCTGCCTAACTTTCCTGACACATCTCCAGCAGTCCACATGGCAGTTGGCATTTGCACAACCGGCTCTCTGCTGAACCGCCCCTTGAAACACCCTCCTCACTGTCAGCCACTGCTCACTGGCAAACTCCTATCTGTCTCCTAAACCCCAGCTCAAATGCCAGCTCCTTCTGGAGGCTTCCTCAACACCCGAGATATTAAGTAATTCCTTCTTTTTAAAAGTTTATTTTTTAAATCCTTACCCGAGGATATTTTTTCCATTGATTTTCAGAGAGAATGGATGGGAGGGAGGAAAGGGAGAGGGGAAGAGAGAAACTTCGACGTGAGAGAGACACAGCGATTGGATGCCTCCTGTACGCTCCCCAACCAGAGCGGGGGATCAGACCTGCAACCAAAGTACGTGCCTTGACTGGTAATCAGTCGGGGGGCATGGTAGCTCTGACCACTGAGCAAACCCATCCAGGGCTCTTCTTTATATAAAACACCTCCTCTCTGTTCCAGTCCTTGAAACACAGGCCTTCATGTTCTACTGTCCTTGACACACAGCAACACATCCATTTCCTATCGCAATGCAGTACACAGACACACACGTGCACACACACGCGCACCACCCCACACCACTGAATTCAGCTTCGCAAAGCGAAAGCTATCTTATCCACAGTCATAGTTTCCTTTATATTCCATACTAACAAATTCTGTTTATTTTATATACAAATGCTGGTCGTGGCCCCACTAAACTGACTTCACAATCCATGACTGTGCTACAACCTGGAGTGTGACAAACAAAAATCTCTATGAGAGCATTTGCCATAATTCATGACACCCATCATCTCATTGCCTGGATACTATTCTTTGATTCTGAAGCTGTGCTCCCTGGGGCCAGGCAAGTAGGCAGAGACCATACTGGGGCCACCGGCTCCCCCTCAGGACTGAGCCACTGAGTACACGTGGGCTGCATTGAATTGACTCAGGCCGGCCGAAAGCTCGGGAAGCAGGGTCCGGGGTGTGGGATGTGGTAGCAGGAGGGCGCTCCCCTCAGAGGCCCAGCCGTGCCTGGGGGTGAGGCCACAGACACTGGGTACCAGGGGACTGGATGATAGATGCTCCCAGCCCTTCAAGGGATCTGGCTAATGAGGATTCCGAGCCCTCGGGCACAGCCTGGCACAGGAGAGAGTAAGACAGAAAGAGTCTCCCCTGGGAACCACGGGAAGATGGGCAGAGAAAGTCTGAGGGCAGGTGGCCAGGCCAGAATCTGGGGGTGGAGGGAGCGAGGTGGGTGTCTGTTACCACAGCAACACAGGTGCCCCGGCCGGAGATCGATGCCGTGGTGTGCGGTGCGGCCTGCCAGGGGCATTAGGGTCTGAACGATGCAGGCAGGGGCTTCTCCTCCAGGGCTCCGTGGCCTGGGAAGCCTGGACCCTGTCCCCAGCAACGTGCTAGGACTCTGCCCCCAGAGT